GACACACGTACAGGAAGGCCCGCCCACTTAAAATGGGCAGCTTTTAGATAGATTTCACGAGCGGATAAATATTCCAGTGTTAAGCCAAAAGTTTACTCTTAACACTAGCCCTATCCTACAGTTAACACGAACCCAAACCTTAACCCTTAATATACTCCTGACCCTAACCCCAACCCTAAACCTAACAGTAAAATTAACCCTAAACCTAATTTCCCCAGACTTTGACGCGTATTGCAGGCGGTTCCTGTTTCCGTGTCCTGTTTAGGCGGTCCCTTACTCTTAAATTAAGTTATTTTTCGGCTCGATTAATGTAATTTAACCAATTGTTTTCATACGCAGTTGCCGGAAGGAAGTTAGGGCGGTGAAGCGCACTGCCAACCATGTTTATCAGCCACGATCGAAAATAGAATCATGATTTTCGGATGTCTTGTGAAAAGTTTACGAGAGACAGAGATAAGGGAGCGAATTATTCCGTTTACAGAGATGACACCATCAAATAAACTTCAGAGACGAAATTAACCTTCGTATACTAGTTGATGTGGTCGGAATAAATTTCTTCTTCGGTAAAGAAGGAGGGAAAATTCAACATTTGCGGTGATACCCTCAATTGTTTTAGAAACCGTCAGACCGAGGACCCGTTTCGGAAGTAACGCTTCATCATTCAATGGCAACCGAAAAAGGGGAATACCACGGTTAGGCTAAAACAGGATGTCAGACCGTTTTGGTTCTTGTGGTGAAATAATAAACTGGTCTAGGATAAAAGGTTTAAGGAGGCTCCGGCCAGGGTGCGGAATAAAGCTCCTCAGTCCGCTTATTCAAACGCGGATTGTGTTTACCCATGGGTGTGCTTGCAAAATGAGGCAAGTTTGCCCTGCTGTACCGACCTCTGCTCATGGTTGTCCCGTTAAAACGTGAAAGTAGGCTACCAAAAACGAAAATAGCATTCGAATGAAACATACTATTGAGTAAAAACAGGACTACCATTTAGTGGACTGTCCCTATTGAACTTGTATTACAATATACTTTATTGCTATAAATAGGTATGGCAACTAGTATTAGCCGCCTCAGCATTCACATATCAAATTTAACAGCAGTTCCTAGTCCTCGTAGTCATAAACTTGATAAAATCTGACACAGCTTTGGTGATAGCCGTGAGGGCATGGAAGACAAGGCCAACCACGATGTGCTCTGGCCACGAAAACGTATTACTCGGAATAACAGAAATCCAGGTTGACATGAACCTCAGCGCTGAAACAAATCAGCATCCACTATAACTTATACATTCGACGGACAAAGTTACGGTACTACTAGCGCTCTGCTAAATTGACAGTTAATACCAGCATGGGAAGACGATATCCTGCGATTATGCTTAGTTTATCGAAAACTAGGCGTTGCAGTAGGCCTGCAGACAGCCTTTACACGGCAAAAGTCACTACTAAAGTCATAAAGGTATGGTAGAACTTTGTTCTACTTGTTAATAACCCATAAACTGTTAGTCTACTTTACCCCATACAGATAGGGAGTGCATACTGTATTCTGGATTCTGGATTCCTAAAGGCACATACAGGTCATATCATAATATACTAGTTACTGGTCTTAGTAACTATGGTTACTAGAATTAGCACTTTAGCATAGGCAAATACTTATAGCAGCATTATCTTAGTCCTCGTAGTCCAACTCCTAGTTGAAACGGGCACTGCCTGGGAGGATAGAGTTAACAGGGAGGAATACAAGGCAAGCCCTGATGTGCTCAGGGCCTCTAACGTGTAGTTACTCGAAACAGCATAAACCCAGATTTCACGAATTGAGGCACGAATTTCACGAATTGAACCCAGATTTCCCACTCCTTTTGGAAACAAAGGAGGTATGAGCCTCAGTGCTAAGTTCCAATCAGCGTCACTTCTAATAAAACTTGAGCGTCAGAAATAGTACCAGTACTACTAAGACTCGGCTACACTGATAGTCAGTAGTAGTAGAAACAATAGTAACCGTATCAGTCTCGGCCTCCTTGGGCCTGTCTTTACACCTATTATGGGTGAATGAGGGTAGATAGTACAGTAGTACCCGCTCAAAGTCTACTGTCACTTAAGACTAAGTTAGGTGGTGTTTCGGCTTGCATTGGAGAAAGCAGCCTACACCGGACCCCGTTTAGTCTTCGAGACTCTGAGCGAAGGTGAAGAGTGCGGTTGGCGCTAACTACGCCCTCTACCACTTTAAACTACCCCCTGAGACTATCACCTTCTGAAACAATCTGTTGGTGCCCTTGGTTGACCTCATCGAATTCAATGGTCGACTATACACTATAGAGTCACACTCAGGCTCATCGTGCTTTTTTAATGAAAAATACTAAATGTCATCCGCCTCTTTGCCTCTTTTACTGCCTAGATGTCACAAAGATAAGGGGAGTGCTAATCCTGATACCTGTTCGAAAGAACTACGGCAACAACCGCAGCAATACTATGATGAACAGCGGCAGTTGTTGCAGCAGCAGCAACAACAGAAGCAGGAACAAATGCAACAACAACAATCGGAGGAAGAAGTTATAATTGACCGGGTATTCCGATGTCCACACTGCAGCAAGACCTTCAAGCGTTCTTCCACCCTGAGTACTCATCTTCTCATCCATAGCGGAACCCGGCCCTACCCCTGTGAGTACTGTGGCAAGCGCTTCCATCAGAAGTCGGACATGAAAAAGCACACTTACATCCACACAGGTAGGAAACACATACGTCAGCTTAAATCAACATATGTAACTACTTTAGCATGACAAATGGCAAATGCCACTTGGTTACAACCTAAATGCTTGGTAGATCTTCAGCTAGTATTAAATACACGTTATTTAGCCCTTCGGTTTACTAAAATCCCCATATAGGTTATGACTGCATAGTAGGTTAAAATTTCCTGCATGCACGACCAGGCCCCACCGTAGCTTGCCACTTACTGGCTTTAGCAAGTATGATTACTAGGACTAGCTCTTCTAGCATAGGCACAGCACTTCTAATAGAAGTATCGTAACCCTAGTAGTTTAAACTTTGGGAAACAATCAGGGCAAGCATTGATATGCTCCGAGCCTCAAACACCTACTGTACTCGGAATAGCAAAAATCCAGGTCCCCAATCCCAGTTGAGATCAAGGGAACATGGGCCCAGATCTGACTCCAATCAGTGTCCTTTCTGACCAAATGTTTGCGACCGTAATATTACCAGCACTGCAATCCTTCAGATACACCCCTAGAAGCAACAGTATAAACAGTAGTTGCAATAGTAGAAGTACGAGCCTCGGGCCCCTAAAATCTTTCTGGGCATCTACTATAGATGAGTGAGGGTAGATATTGCAGTAGCACCAACGCAAAAGGCTACTGTCACTTAAGGCTAAGTTAGGCAGTGTTTCTGACAGTGTTAGAGAAAGCGGCTTACACGCAATTCCTGTTCGGTCATTTCGACTTTGTCTTGTCACCGGTTCAAGCAGGGAGAGGGTTTAGATTGGGGTTGATGGCTGCTCGTCTACTTTTACTATAGCTGACTACAGTCACCGTTCCTGCTCTTGGGCATCTGGTGGACATCATCGATTTCGATGGTCGAACTAACACACACACCATGATTCCTAGCCACCTCTATTAAGAAAGAGATAATGACTTTTTGTCCCAACCCATCCGTTGATATCTGCAGACTATTGTATTTTGCCTATCTCTCATGCACCTTAATTTTTTTGTCTTGAAAGGTGAGAAGCCCTACAAGTGTGTCCTTTGCGGGAAGACCTTTAGCCAGTCCTCAAATCTCATTACTCATTCGCGAAAGCACACTGGCTTCAAACCCTTTTCGTGTACCTTCTGTTCACGTGCTTTCCAACGTAAGGTGGACCTCAGACGACACACTGAAACTCAACACACGGAGTCTACTGCCCTTCCCTCCGGACATGCGATACTGTCACGACCGTCTTCCCACTATAGAGAGACGGCCGCCTGTTCGGTCGCAGACCCTCCTCCCCAACTCCCGCCTCACCTCCCTCATGCTCCTCCTCCTCCTTCTGACTTTACAGCCCTTAATTTGACCCGTTTTATGCCTGACTGTGGCCCCCTAGGCATAAGTCTACCCTCCTCACCGCCTCAATGCGAGGGCACCACTAATATCTCGCCTGTATTTCCCAGCGAACGTCCCACCTCGCAACTACTCTCCAC